AACAGAGCACAGGTCTATTGTTAACAACTGCTGACATCTTGCCATGATGGCTCAGCTGCTCTAATCCCCAAGTGTAATAAGAAAAAGGGACTCGGGAAGTAGAGCATTGGGAAAGAGACTGGAGAGGCCCTCAGGAGACAGCCCAGAACCACTCCTATCACCCTCCCCCAGCTGCTCGTCGGCCAGCATACTAAAGTTCCTGAGGCTCTCTCCTAGTTTCTGTCTCTGTTTATCTCTCTTCCTGCAGATGCCTAGAAAAGAAAGATCATTCTGTATATAGGGTGATCCTGAGGTTCCTAGGGGAGAAAAGTCATCACAGCTGCCTCCTACAGAATGTTGGATGGGAGCCTGGGGTTAAAAGTCAGAGGACCGCTTTGTATTATTGTCTTTTTTCTCAACATGTTTCTTTACTTCTCTCACCTGTGTATATTGTGGTCTCTGATTTCTCATTGCTTAGCTCTCCATTTTTTCATCTCTTGGTCTCTCTCACCTCTCTTGAGGGCAGAAATTTGTTTGTTCGTATTTGTATCTCCAGCACTTAGTACAATGCCTGGCAAACAGGAGACACTTAACAAATGTTTTTTTTAAAAAATTCTTTCATTTATTTGATAGAGTAAAGGGGGCCCAGGGGCTTGAGTTGTTGCATACTCAATCATATATGGTTATGGTTGCTTTGTCAATTGATTCTACTTAATTTTTTGTTTTATGAAGGAGTCTTTGGTCAATGGGCTACCTAGGGATTGGAAGGATAGAGGGTCTGAAACTGTGACTTCATTGTTTTGCTTGTTTTGTCTTTTAAACCTTCCTCTGCAAATGAGTATCATAGAGAGTGGCTTGTTTCTCTGAGAGGTTACATGATTTCCCATGATTACACAAACAGGAAGTGTCAAAATAAGGACTTAAATTCCTGATTGAAGACCTACCCTCTATTCTATCCACTACCACCTGCTACCTCTCACTGGAAAATTGCTGTGGGGTGAAAAAAATATGTATGTGTGGGGAATCTATTGAGTCAATCACCCCACCCACACTTAAAGTAACACTTCAAATACTCTAGCCCTGACACTTTTATCATGTGAGATCATCTCTATTGAATTAATTAGCCAAAAATTTCCATGTAATATTCACCCTGTCTGACCTTTGGGTCTTCTGTAAATAGCAGTCCAGTTCCTAACCCAGTGTTTTGAGTTTCTGGAAGCTTAGAGGGGAGAACAGTTCCAGTCAAGCTGATGAGAGGGAATCACTTCCAGAAGGGATCAGAGTAAAGCCTCTGTCTCCTCCCCTTCCTCAACCAGAGAATGGCCTTGTGAACTCAAAGGATCCAAGGATTTGGATATCTCTTAGGGGGATCCTAACTCTATCCCAAGAGCAGCAGTGACCAGAAGCTGTGGGAACCAGAAACAAACTAGACACACTGCAAAAAGGCCCCTTTAAAACCGTACAACGAGGGGCAGCTAGGTGGCACAGTGGGTAGAGCACCAGCCCTGGAGTCAGGAGGACCTGAGTTCAAATCCTGCCTCAGACCCTTGACAATCACTGGTTGTGTGACCCTGGACAAGTCACTTAACCCCATCTCCTAGCAAAAAAACAAAAACAAAAAACTCTACCAAGAGCCCAGAAGAAGGCTGCAGTATACTGAAGGGGAACATATTGATACCTCTAGCAAAGGGACTTCTAGAACTTGTGAGATATTCCCCTTTGCCAAATGCATCACCAGCTTATAATGACTCCATGTGTACTTATGGCAGGGTATGCCACAGAGTTTGGAGGAGATGTTTTGTGTCAACTATTCTTACCACATTACTTTGATAATACCTGTCTGACTGTATAGTTGGCAACAATTGATAATCTTGAGAAGGGATGCACTGATGGGGGCTCATTAGCTACACTCAGCCTCAGTTCATATGATACAAATACATAGACAAACAAAAATACATCAGAGGAAGAGATCATAAAGTTCATGGAGTCCCATCAGATGAGGAAACTGAAGGTCAGACTGGTTAAGTTACTTGCCCAGGGTCACAATTGAGCATCAGAACTGGGATTTGAACCCAGGTGCAAATTCAGCACTAAGACTTTCTTCCTCTCAATAAACTTTTTTTTTTTAATTCTAGATTTGACATCACAAGTTGGAACAAATCCTAACTCTCCTACTTTTTATCACTACAACTTCTGAAAAGCGAGTCTTTGTTTAATCATCCACAAAATGAGGGGACAAAATTTTTTTTAAAAAGTCTCAGGTCCCTTCCAGGTCTAAATATGTAATGTTTAGTAGAAGGCACTTAGGAACATCTGGGCTTTGGAAACGAAAAAAAAACAGAGGAGGGTGAGACATAATAAAGATCCAAGATTCCAGGCCTCTAGCAAAGGCAGTTGGCCTTCAGCAGATCCGGAGTCAAATACCTGGCATCCTGTCTTGAGAGCTAAATTTAGAAGTCACTTGGCCTCCACTTTCTCAGTTTTAAAATGGCAGTGGAGGCAGTGGTCATTGTTGGGTCATTTTAGTCACATAAGAGTAAGAATCATTGTGACGAGATTTGGGGTTTTCTTGGCAAAGATACGTGGTTTGCCATTTCCTTTTCCAGCTCACTTTATAGATGAGGAACTGAGGCGATCAGGGTTAAGTGGCTTGCCTAGAGTCACACTGTGATTGTCAAAAATGGGGATAATGACCTCTATACAGGAGGCAGCTAGGAGGCTCAGTGGGTAGAGTGCTGGGCCTGGAGTCAGGAAAACCTGAGCTCAAATCCAGTCTCAGACACTTACTAGTGGTTCCACCCTGGGCAAGTCACTGAATTCTGTTTGCCTTAATCTCTCGGAAAAGAAAATGGCAAACCACTCCAGCATCTTTGCCAAGAAAATCCCATCAACAGTATGATCAGGGCAGCTAGGTGGCGAAGTGGATAGAGCTGTGGCCTTGGAGTCAGGAGGATCTGAGTTCAAGTGTGACCTCAGACACTTGACACTTACTAGCGGTGCGACCCTGGGCAAGTCACTTAACCCTGATTGCCTCACCAAAAAGAAAAAAAAACAAAAACAAAAAAACAGTCACAAAGAGTCCAACACGACTGAACAACAGCAACAACCCCTATAGAACCTACTACATAGGCATGTTGTGTAGACCAGGTGTACATGAATATTTAAAGAGATCCCTCCTGACCTTTTCCCTGGCATCTCCAGACCCCTCTCATTTGAGAATCATCAGCTCCCAGACTCACGAAGGATCTAGGCAATGGTTCCCCAGGACCCAGACCTCTACGAGATTCAGGAGTCCATCCCCCTCAGCTTTTTCCCCAAACCAAGCTGCTCAAGATGCCAAGATACCAGTGTGTGGGTCCAGGATCTTTAGTCACAGATAAACTCGGAGGCGGGGGACCAGATGCTCTATGTGTGAGTTAAGGCAATTGGACAGAGCTATAATTCTGGAGGGGAAACGGGAGTGGGTGGGGACTGGGGCGGGACCAGAAGCAGGGGACTTCTGAGGAAGAAAAGGAAAACTAGGGTGGTCGCAAGACTAAAAGCTAGGAATTCAAGGAAGGGGACTAGGGAGAAGTCGGGTAAGGACATGGTTTGGGAGCGGGGTTAGGCCGCCTGAGCAAAGTGTGAGTGGGAATGGGGGACAAGGTCCAGCCTGGAGGGGAGAATCTGGCAGGGAGGGAATGACTTGATGTATTGGGGACATGAGGCAAAACGAGTGGAGGAAAGACACGGAGGGTGGAAATAGAGAGCTATGGGGGCACTGGGAAAGTAAGAAAGTGTACAAGTTAGGGTGGGCGGTAACAGAACGCCCGAGTGAGCAGGGATAGGCCGTTGGCATGGGCAGGGCACCGCTTGGGGGAGGATAGAGAACGCCAGGTTGGGCGGACTGGGGAGCAGGGCGGGGTTTAGGGGCGGGCCCAGAACGCCTAATACTCCGAGTGGGAGAACGAGGGCCGAAAGCTGGGAACTGCTCAGGAACTGCGAGCTGGGGCAGGCCTGAGACCAGGCGGTGACAAGTCCCAGGAGACCATGGCCAGGGTGCAACGGGGTTCGCGAGCTGTGTCCTGGGACTCCAGATTGGAGTGAAGCTTAGGTGAAGGTCAGACGGACTGGAGGACTGGACCAATTTGCCTGACTGGCCGTCTGGGCATCCATCCTACCATCTGTTTGAGAGCGCCTTCTGTCTACTGCCCTTCGGCTCCTCCCCTGGGCCCCACCCTCCTCTGGGGCCCACCCGCCTCTGAAGTACCGCCCTAGAGGACGTGCCTCCCACCGCCCTGGCCCCAGGAGGGATTGGGAAAGAGCTGCCGCCAGGAGCGGAACCAAAGAGCCACTGGGGCCGGGCACCGTTCCCATACCCACAGACGCCAGCCGCGGGAGGCAGGTGGCCTGAAGACAGGGGAAAAGGAGAAAACTGTCAGAGACAGAGAAAGGAGATCCCAGAGAACAGGGAAGGGGAAGGGGAAGGGGAAGGGGAAGGGGAAGGGGAGGGGGAGGGGGAGGGGAGGGGGAAGGGGGGGGCGGCTTTCAGGCGAATAGCAAAGGGGCGCTGGGGGAGAGACAACGCAGAGAAGGGAGAATGACAGACCGGACACAGAAGGGCCGCACCATCGAGAGAGAACAGAGACTGTCAGAGATGTAGAGACTGGGGAAGAACCCAGAGAATGGTGTCTAACGGACAGACAGCAAAGAGGTGCTGGGGGAGAGAGAACTGAGACCGAGAGAAGAAAAAAAAGGGGGGGGGGGGAACAAAAACAAAAACAAAAACAAGAGAGTGGCGAGATAAAGACGGAGAGGGAAGACCGAAGGAAAGAACAGAGACAAGACATAGACAGGGAGAGATCCAGACACACACGCACAGTCCCGACCACCCAAGCCAAGTTTCAAGGAAGGAATCATAGCGAGACAAAAAAAGGTAGTCCCCAGATTGAGAGCTATGCACGCCCTCCTTGGAGAGCCCCAGAGCTGTGCCACAGCCCAACCCGCCGCCTTTCCAGGGACCACGCGCTTAGCAGCAGAGCGTAAGCAAGTCTACCGGGAGCGCAGCCCGGGCTACTTCTTTATTAAGGAAGAAGGACCGCCTCTTCCTCCTCCCCGACCCACACCCAGCGCGGGGCTCAGTTAGCCTTGATGATCTTGTTAATCCACTCCGTATAGCGGCAGACACTGGTGTAGACTCCTGGCTTATCGGCTTTCCCACAGGGATCTGCGCCCCAAGATGTGATGCCCTGGAGAGCTCCCTCGCACACCAAAGGGCCCCCTGAGTCACCCTGAATGAGAGAGTGAGGACAGGAAACAGCCTGAGTCTCGATGGGCCGAGGGTCATCATTGGGAGGGGGAGCTAGGAAGGCGGTAAGAGGCGTGGCTTGCTCCCAGAGTCCGGCCTTGGCCTTGACAAGGAAACAGACGAGATCCCTCTTTCTTCCCAGAAAGCCGGACAACTGCCCTCGCTTCTTCTTGTTGCTTGGTCGTGTCCGACTCTCCCTGATCCTATCTTAGGGTTTTCTTGGCAAAGATACTGAAGTGGTTTGCCATTTCCTGTCCTGCTCATTTTACAGATGAGGAAACTGAGACAAACAGGATTAAGTGACTTGCCCAGGATCTAACCCGGGTAGTGTCTGAGGCCGGGTTTGAACTCATGAAGTTGTCTTCCTGATTCCAAGCCCCGTGCTCTATCAATTTTGCCACCTGGATGCCTCAGCCAGTGGGGAAAGGACGTTGCCCCCATTTGAATCCTGTTTGTTACAGTTTAACTTCACCTAGAGAGCCCAGCCTTGGTTTCCAGACATTGGCCCAGCCCCTGCCAATTGGGAAGAGGGCATTGTCTCCTTGGAGAGAGGGAATGGCCGCAACCAAAGGACCTTAATTCTAGTTAGAAGAAATAATGACTCCCCAGTCCACATGCAGACACGTTGTAAAGGCCTTCCCAAGTCTCTTCAGTCCCCAGAAGATGTGCCCTTTAAACAAGATGGGGGGGAGGGAGACTCCCTGACCTTCTCTTGTCCTGAGCTATGTAAAACACTCTTCTCTCCAAATCATATGATCATGACTGGAAGGGTCCTTAGAGACCATCTAGCCCTACCCTCTCATTTTACAGATGAGAACACTGAGGCCCAGACAAGGACAATGGCCAGACTAAAATAACACAGATGGTGAGGACCAGATCCCTGGATTTGAGCCCAGGTCTTTTGGAAGAGGTATGTTTTAGTAGGAAGAGGTAGAAATTTGTAATCAGAAGCCTTGGGTTCAAATCCCAGGTCCTGCCACTAACTCACAATGATCATCGATTCCCTCCCCCTCCCAAGTCTGGCCTGGTCCGTGAGCCTGTTTCCACATGTGGAAAATGACCAAGTGGTGCATTGGATAAAGTGCAGGGCTTGGAGTCAGGAAGACTTATCTTTCTGAGTTCACACACTAGCTGTGTGACCCTGGGCAAGTCACTTAACCTGTTTGCCTCAGTTTCCTCATCTGTAAAATGAGCTAGAAAAAGAAATGGCAAACCACTCCAGTATCTCTGCCAAGAAAACACCAAATGGGGTCATGAAGAGTCAGACACAACTGAAAAACAGCTAAACAAACAAGCAACCAAAAAAAAAAAAAAAAAAGATGATGTGATCTCCAAAGTCCTTTCCAGTGGCAAGATCCTATAGTTGTGAGACAGTGGAAACAACATTGATCTACAGTAAGAGGGCCTGGGTTTAAATCCTGTGGTTGTTCACTTACCATCTATGTGACCTGGAAGAAATAAACCTGTCTGGGCCTCAGTTTCTTCATCTGTAAAATGAGGAGGCTGGCCTAAAGGCTCGTAAGGGCCTATGAATCCAAGCAAAGACTCCTTCCGCTGCACCATGGTGCTATGTTTCTATGCTCCCCCAAGTCCCTTCATCCAGCCCCAGTGTCACCACCCCCACCACCGACTTCTTCCCTGTGAGCCCTGACCTGACAGGTGTCCACACCGTTGCTGTCTCCTGCACACACCATGCCATCCGAAATCTTGCCTGGGTAGGCCTGCTCACAGAGATCCTGGGGCCAGATGTACAGTTCTGCACAGTACAGGGTGTCAGGAAAGTTCTCTGGGGTTGGGGGTGGGAAGAGAAAGTTTATTAGTGATGAGAAAACTCACAAATTTGTAGCTGCAAAATTTGAAAGATTTGCAGCTGGAAACTTCACTGCTCTTGTAAAGTGCAATTCTTTAGTCAACTAGCTTGATGAATGAAGACATGGCAAACTTCCACCCTTTCCAGTCCTTAGCTTTCCTTATCTATATTGGGGGAGGGGGGAGCAGGGAGAACAATTGAAGCAATGGGTAAATGTAATTGTTAAAAGGCTCCAATTCGTGAATGCATAGTATGGAGTAAAAGAACTCAGAAGGAAAGAAAATAACAAGAAAATCAAGATCCCTAAAAGCAAACTTGGACTGGCTTCAAGAATGTTCAATGCATTTTCATAAGTTCAATAAGAGAAATAAAGGAGTCTCCCAGTTCAATAAAGATGGAATTAAAATTGATTCAGGAAAAAAGAAACATAATAAACATAAAACTGAACATTTAAAAACATTTGGTGGAAAATCTTAATAAAATGGTTTATTCTCTCATGAGGAATACAGGCCAGATGGAAGGTCAAAATGCAGAAGGGAAAGAAGAAACAACTAAACAAGGTTTTGTGTGTGTGTGTGTGTGTGTGTGTGTGTGTGTGTTTTAACACAATTTGAAGATTTGAGATCTCTCTAAATAAAGATAATAGGGCTGAAGGGCAGAGCTTGGGGATGGAACCTGAACATTCTTATTCTCCCTCCAAAATACGGTAAATAAATAGAAGGAAAGTCTGCTAATAGGGACCATTTCCTGAATAGGAGCATCTTCTGCTCTGTGGTAGAAGAGCTTATGATCCCGACACTTTACAAAATCATTCTTTTATACTCCCCCCAGCCCTCTATCTTGATTTCTCAATACAGAGAAGTGACTGCCGAGCCTCATCTGGAAAATTCTAGAACTTTGGAAGAATCCTCTGACCCACAGACTCTTCACCTCGGGCTCTCCTTGCCTCTTTCTACCTCTGTTACTACTTCTATCCACACCTTCTGTATATTAGCTTTCTCTAACACTGGAGCAGTTCTCCTCTCCTCTCCTCGCCTCCCCTCCCCTCCCCTCCTTCACCCCCCTTTCTCTTTCCTTCCCCTTGTCTCCTCACCTCCCTTCCTTTCTCCTCTTCCCTCCTCTTACCCTCTCCTCCTGTCCTCCCCTTCTCTCCTCCACCTCTTCTCCTCTTTTTCTTTCCCCTAGTCCATCCTCTTACCCTCTCCCCTTTTTTTCTCCCCTCCTCTCTTCCCCTCTCCTCTCTTTTCCAATCTCTGCTCCACTCTTTCCATGTTTTTCTCTTCTCTCCTTTTTTTCTTCCTCACTATCTCTCTTACACACTCTTCAAGTCACTCCAGCCTCTTCCAGAAAACATTCAGGATGGAAAGGTCCCTCCCTGATAAGTCCATTACATCATTAGGTTATTCATTGTTCTAATAATTAGTTCACAAGCATTTATTACGTGCCTGCTCTGGTCCAGGGACTGTGCTCAGCACTCTCCCTTCACTCAAGCTGAAATCTGCCCTCTTTGAAACTGCTTGCTGTTTCTAGTTCTGCCTCTGAGCCCAAAAAGAGCGAATCGAATTTCCCTTCCATATGATAACCCTTCAGAGACTCAAGGACAGACAGTGTGTCCCCTCTCCCCTCCCCCTCCTCACACCCAAACTTCATGTTGTTGTTGTTTTCTTCTCCAGCCTAAACACTCCTGCTTCTTCAGTCATTCCCCTTATTCCCTGTTTCCAAGCCCCTTCCCTGTCCTGGTTACCCTCCTCTGGATCTGCTCCAGAATTTTGATATCCTTCCTAAAATATGTCTCCCCAGAATAGCACATACAAGAAGGGGAGTGACCAGAGAAGAATTCGGTGGGCTTGCAAGGCCTCCCTCAACCTGCTGGACACCTGGCTACTCTCCAGGCATCCTAAGATCCAATGAACCTTTTGGACTAATTCACACTGTTGATTCTCTTTGGACTCAAAGACTAAGTAGGCACTAGCTCTCCACATAAAATGTGGTCTACCTATGCCTTCCCTAGTATATACTCACCACAATTTGCAGATAACACCAAGTTGGGAGGGATTGTCTGAAACACTGGATGATGCTATCAAAATGTCAAAAAGCTTTATAAGTCAAGACATGTGGCTAAATACTGCTGCAGCAGCTGCTACTACTACCATCATCACCCCTTCTACTAACAACAACAACCACTACCACCTACTACTAATAACTGTCACCTATTATTTACTACTACTACTACTACTACTCCTACTACTCCTACTACTACTACTAAGGCAGCTAGGTGGCACAGTGAAGAGAGTACTGGAACTGGAATCAGAAAGACCTGATTTTAAATCTGGTCTCAGACACTTACTAACTGTGGCCCTAAGCAAGGCACTTAATCTCTCTTTGCCTCAATTTCCTCAACTGTAAAATGAAGATAATAATAGCATTACCTCACAGGATTGTTTTGAGGACCAAATAAAGTAATAATTATAAAGCACTTAGCACATTACCCTAGCATATAAGTGCTATGTAAATCTTAGCTGTTATTATTAATATCCCTAATCATCATCATCATAAACATATAAGGTTTGCAAAACATTTTACTAATTTTATCTAATTTTATTGTCACAACAACCCTGGGAAGTATATGCTATTATCATCCCCATTTTTATGAGTCAAGAAACTGAGGCAAGCAATGGTTAAATGACTTTCCCAGGCTCACACAGCTAGTAAATGTCTGAGGCCAGATTTGAACTCAGGTCTTCCTGACTCCAGGTCTCAACCTGTAAAAGGGTATAAAGAAAATGAAGGTTACAGGGCAGCTAGGTGGCAAAGTGGATAGAGCACTGGTCCTAGAGTCAGAAGGACCTGAGTTCAAATCTGGCCTCAGACGCATGATATTTGCTAGCTGTGTGACCCTAGGTAAGTCATTTAACCCAAATTGCTTCACCAAAAAAAAGAAAGAAAGAAAGAAAATGAAGGTTACTACAATTAAACATAAAGTCTTGGGGTTCAAAAAAGTCAGTGTTGCTATATAAAGTGGGGAAGTCATGGCTAGACAGCAATTTGGATAAAAAAAGATCCAGGCAAGAGGAGAAGAGAGGCTAGTTCAAGTTCAATATGGTGGCTGAAAAGAATAACATGATTTCTAACCCCATTAAGAGAGACTCTTCTAGGAATAGGAGGTGATGGTACCAATGAACTCATTTTTTTTTCCCAAGCCAGAACACATCTAGTTTCAGTTCTAGGCACCACATTTTAGGAGGACATTGATGTGGCAGAGGGCATTCATATGTGAAAAGCAGTGACAGAGAGGAGGAGTTTGGCTTGTTCTGTCAGAGGATAGATTCAAACTCAATATCTGGAAGAAATTCCCCCAAATTAGAGGCGTCCTAGAGTTGGATGGGTGGCCTCATAAGGACTTGAAGTCCTCCAGGAGAGACTGAACAACCCACCACTTGTCCTCCTTTAGGTTAGTATTGGCTGCTGCTGAGGCCTCTTCTGACATTAAAAACCTACCATTCCCTCAATGATTTGTTTAGGGTGGTGGTTGTCTGTGCTCACTCATATTCATGTGTGTGTGTGTGTGTGTGTGTGTGTGTGTGTGAGTGTGTGTGAGTGTGTAAGTGTGTTTAACCAAATCCAAGACTTTATTGTCATTGTTTAGTCAATTAGTCGTATCCGACTCTCTGTGATTCCATTTGGGGCTTTTTTGGCAGAGATACTGGAAGGATTTGCCATTTCTTTCTCCAGCTCATTTTACAGATGAGGAACTAAGGCAAACAGGATTAAGTGACTTGCCTAGGATCACACAGCTAGTAAGTGTCTGAGGCTGGATTAAGAGTTGACACTTAGGCTGAATATAGATTGAAGCATGCTTTTTTTTTTTTTACTTTGTTTTCCTGGAGGGTTTTTTTTTTTTTTTTTGCTCTATGTTTTCTTTCACAACATGACTGTTATGGAAATGTTTTGCATGACTACACATGTATAACCTATATTGAGTTGCTCACCTGCTCAATGGGAGGGAGGGAGAGAATTTGGAACTCAAAGTTTTAAAAATGAATGTTAAAAATTGTTTTTAAATGTAACTGTGAAAAAATGAAATACTAAATAAATTTTTTAAAAAAGAGAAAAAATAGAATGGAAAGGATCATAAAAAAGACTTGACATCCCTATAAAATTTTGCCTTGTGAGCTTCAGCCCATCATTTAAGATTAGTGAGAGATTTAGAGTCCTGACCCATGACCCCATTTATACTAAAGCTAGCTCCCACCAATCCCCAATTCTATCACGCTTATTTTTAATTACTTCGAAATGTTGAAGCTCTTCTTGACTTATTCTACAGGAGCCAACTCAAGTCTCATTTGCATCAGGATATAGGACAATATAACAACAACAACAATAATAATAATAGCTATCATTTACATAGTGCTTTAATATTTCCAAGGCACTTTATAAATATTATCACATTTGATCCTCACGACAACTCTGGGTAGGAGGTTCTATTATTATCCCATTTCACAGCTTAGGAAACTGAGGCAAATAAAGGTGAAGTGACTTGCCCAGGCTCACACAGCTAGTCAGTGTCTGAGATGTATAGTGGGAAAAGTGTCATTTTTGTTGCTGTATTCCCTAACCCAGTGATTGACACACAGTAGACACTATGTGAATGAATGAATTGAAGTCAACAGATGTGGTTTGGAGTCCTGACTCTGTCACTTACTAGCTGTATTTTTTTTTTTGTTTTGCTTTTTGGCTAGGCAATTGGGATTAAATGACTTGCCCAGGGTCACACAGCTAGTAAGGGTCAAGTGTCTGAGGCTGGATTTGAACTCAGGTCCTCCTGACTCCAAGGCCGGAGCTCTATCTACTGTGCCACCTAGCTGCCCCTTACTAGCTGTATGAAAAATCATTTTGTGAACCTCAGTTTTCTCTGCTGCAAAGTACAAATAATGCATTGCCTACAACCCAAAATTGTTGAGAAGATCAAACTGGGTCATGGGGATCAAGCAAGCAAGATGTCAACATGTTAAGGATCAATGATTTTCTCAGGATGATTACTCCCTCCTTCCTGGTCCATTCTTTCTAAGTTTAGATTTAGAGACTTGCCTGAAGTTCAGAAAGGTTGAGTGATTTTCCCAGAGTCACATAGCTGGTAAGCAGCAGAAGAAATATCTGAAGTCAGTCCTCCAGGATTCCAAGCCCAGCATTCAGTCTACTATATGGGGCTTCTCCTCTTTACCCTCGCAAAGGGCTATATAAATGTTGTGACTTCATATATTATTTGGATGAACTCCTACTGCCCTGAGGAGCCTGCATGATCTCATTTCTCATTTGGTTATACACTACTAGGGTTTTTTGAGGCAGCTAGGTGGCGAAGTGGATAGAGCTGGGCTTGGAGTCAGAAGGACCTGAGTTCAAATGTGGCCTCAGACACTGACTAACTGTGTGACCCTGGGCAAGTCACTTAACCTCCTATGTGCCTCAGTTTCTCATCTGTAAAATCGAGACACACTGGAGAAGGAAATGGCAAACCATTCCAGTATCTTTGCCAAGAAAACTCCATGGACAACATCCATGGAGTCACATAGAGTCAGACATGACTCAACAATGACAACAACAGTAACACCGACAGGGGCTTCTCAAGTCCCTACCTGTGATTTCATCTTGTAAAGAAATACTAGTGTAGAAACTCTCTCCACAAATGCAGAGTAACAGCTCACTTGTAATTTAGTATCTCAGAAAGCCGGGAGCATGAGATGGTAAGTGACCTGTCAATGGCCTCAAGGTATTTATCAGAGATGGGATTGGACCCCAAGGAGTTCTGCCCAACTTCAAAACCCGACATCTCTTGACTACAATGCTCTTCCAGATGTGTCAGCCTTACTGCCCCATTGAGACTGTGAGGACTTTTTCTCTCTTCCCCAAAGTGCCTAAGGCAAGGAAGGGAGGGAGGGACAAAAAAAAAAGAGAAAGAAGGAGGAAAGAAAGAAGAAAGGAAGGATGAAAGAAGGAAGAAAGAAAGAAGAAAGGGCAGAAGGAAGGAAGAGAAGAAAGGGAGGGAGGGAGGAAAGAAGGGAAAGAAAGGAGGAAGGAAGGGAGGGAGGAAGGAAGGAAAGAGAAGAAGAGAGGGAAGGAGAATCTCTGGTTTATTTATCTTTTCTGTTATGATCTTGAGGAAGTCATTTCCCTCCCTAGGTCCAAGTTTCCTAATATTTAAAATAAGGGTGTTGGACTAATCAGGGGTGGGGAACCTGCAGCCTCGAGGCCACATGTGGCTCTCTGGGTCTTCAAGTTCCGCCCTTTGACTGAGTCCAAACTTTACAGAACAAAGGATTTGTTCTGTAAAACTTGGACTCAGTCAAAGGGCTGCACCAAAGAACCTAGAAGGTCACATGTGGCCTCGAGGCCGCAGGTTCCCCACCCCTGGAGATCGACAGTTCTCAAACTTTTCCATATCAGGATCCCTGTACACTCTAAAATTATCAAAGACCTCCCACAAGAGCTTTTGCTTATGTGGGTTATAGCTATATTAACCATACTAGAAATTAAACTATTTTAGTATTATTCTGAAAAGTTTTGATGGGAACGGACTTAGAACTGTCCCTTCATATTCTGCCATTGTCTGTTCTGAAGGTTTACCTGGTTCTGATTATCTATATTCTATAAGTTCTATGTTCTAAGGCTTATTCTAGCTCTGATGCAGTATCTTCCATTTTCAATGTTCTATTTACCAAGGGCCCTCTGTGGTGGAACATTCTATGTTTTCCAGACTAAAATCCAGAAGAATCCAGAACCTTCACACCTTGGTAGCCTTGCTTGATCTTTTGGCCAAAGCGTTCCCACTATTCTGCCTTAGGATCTCCCTGTTCTGTCCCAGCAGCACCACGTATGGGCACCACACATCGGAAAGGGCTCTGTGTTTAGAGGGGACTGATTTGGATTTGAATCCTGGTTCCTGTACTTCTTAGCTGTTTGGCTTTGGACAAGACATTTGCCCTTTGGGTGCCTCAGTTTCCTCTTTTGTAAAATGAAGGGATTGGAGGACATGACTTTGGAGGGCCTCTTTTCAGCTCTAACTCTTAACCTATTATCCCTCCTCCTGGAGAAGTACCTCGGGGGCTGGTGGTGGTACCCCAACCCGACACAGTGCATTTCTGGTTAGGCTGAGGGCAGCGAGAGGGAAGTCTAATGGGCTTCACTTTGTTGTTCACACTGGCTGGTTTCTGAAGTCTGAGCAGCATCAGGTCATGGCTGTTTCTATTGGATTCATTGTGGCAAGGATGTGAGACGGATCGAGCCACCTTGATCTCTTGCTCAGAACCGTCTGGGTTCTGCAGGCTGTGCTCTCCCAGGTGGACTGTGAACTTCCTGGTGGGGGTGGGGAAAGATTGTATGACCCAGGGATCAATGCTTCCAGCACCCACCCTTCAGGGACTCTGGTATTCTTTCCCTTCCCATTTGAGAACCTTGTGCCTTTATTCTGCCCTCATCTGAAATTCAGGTATCTAGCCCTCCAGCCTCAAGCCGTCTCAGGAATCAAGATAACTGAGCCTCTCCCCAACAGAGACACAGATATGCAGGTCCTCAGGCCCCACCCCCTAAGGAGCAAGGTGTTTAGTTGCTCAGTCCCCACCCCACTGAGAGACACCAGCTTCTGTACTCCAGCCCCCTTGGTTCCCCCTGCCTCCCATCCTCTGCCTCCTGGGCACCTAGCCCCTGCCACCTCAGATCTACCTAACTATAAATCCAACCCATACCCCTGAGGACCCACATAACCAGGATTCCTGCTGCTGGCCCTTCTGGGACTCAGCCTCCAAAATACAGGCTACCCCTTTCAGCAAGTCATTCCCACAGCAGCATGAAGGCACAAAGAAATGCTCAGGTACAGAGACACCCAGAGCTGATAAGCCTGTCCTTCAAAGAGCCAGTGTCTCTTCCCACCTTCCCCAGTGAAGTAGCCACTCACAAGAGGACAGAGCCCCCACTGGAGGACACAGGATCTTCCTCCCCCACTACTGCAGTGAAGTATTTAATCTAGGAAGATGAGCAGAAGTGCCCCCATCCTCATGCCTTGAGGCACCAGACAATGAGATAGAGACCAGCCTATGGATAAGTTTTGCCCAGTCTCTACCCCCTCCCTAGGGACCCAGGTATTTTTCTCCCCAGGCCCTGCTCCCTTAGGGACCCAAGTATCAGGCTCACGGTTTTTGACAGTGGGCTGCTGTGAGAACCCACCGAGGGGCCACCAGGACCCCCCCACAGAGAAACCGCACGCCCTGGAACAAGCCAACTTGCCAGGGCTGGGAATGAGGTTCACAGGGCTGCGCCCCCAGCACCCTGGAGTCCTCTGCCATGAGAGGCCCTGAAATAGCAAGCGAAGGGGAGGGTTACTAAGCTACCCTGCAGGAAGAAGGAGTGGGTAAGAATACAGGCAGAAATTTCTTCCTATGATACCCCAACAATCTACACTTACACTCTTCTTTCATCCACGTCCCATACCAAGACTGACCCACTCTGTGTGTACCACACTTCTATAGCCACTCAAAAACATTCCCAATCCTCTGCATCTCCACAGGCATTCACACACTCCAATGGGCTCTCAGAAAGGGCCATAACCTCCCCCAGTCCCTCAAATCCTCCCAAACTAGCCCCTCTTCCCACATGTTCCCTCACTTTTTTTTTTTCAGTGTTCAAATCTATTCCTGCACCTCCCCACATAGCCTCAGAAGCACAAGGAAGGCACACTCTGGTTATGTTTCCCGCATGCTGGAATCCCCTCCCCCCACCTCACCTGCACAGGTGGTCAGTAGCAGTGGGAGGAAGGCCCAGCGATTCCAGGTGTGGCTGCAGGAGCCTGAAGAGGGTCCCATGGCAGGGCCTACTGGGCTGGGCAGTGGGGGGAAGGTCAGCTGGGGACTAACGCTGGAGGGAAGAGAGCAGGGAAGGGGCAGGGACAGAGTTCCAGACATCTACCCCTGAAGTGAAGGACTTGGGTATGGGGGGGGGGGGGGGGGGGGCGGGGGGGGGGGGGAAGGGCCATGAACTAGATAATCAGGGTGACCCGATCTCGGAGTGGAGTAGGAGACAGGATGCCCTGATCCCTGTGGGGACGGTGGTTTGGGAATTAAAGGCCTGAATGTCTGGCGCCTGACGTGGAGGGGAGGGAAGGATGCCTAGGTCCCTATAAAGAGGCCTGCTCCCCTGAACCCCTGAAGGGAGAGCTGGGGGCCGGTCAGTCTTGGCTTTCTCACCTTAGGGACTCCTCCGGCGGGGGGTAGTTCTGGTCTCAGGCTCCTGGCTGGTTCCCCCCTTAGGACTCCTATGATGCTTCAGGTGCCTTGGTCCCCAGATGTCACCAACTCCTTGGGCCAGAGCCTTTAAAGGAGGCGTCCCCGGAACCGCCCTGCCCCTCCTCGCCCCGCCCCGCCTCTTCTTGCAAGACAGTCGCTTCCTAGGGAGCTGGAACCCAGAAGCCTGGTTATATCAGAGGCACTGGGAATCAGGACTCTTGGGTCCCTAAGAGGGCTGGGGCTGGAGTTGATACCTCCATCCCTGAAGGAGGCTGCAGCTGCGTGATCTGACACCCGGGTCCCGAGGGAAGGACTGCCGGCTGCTGTCAGACCTTGGAGCAGTGAGATTAAGGAGCGGGGGCGGGTGACAAGTCCCGGGGACCTGTGTCCCAGGAGTGGCGGGTGGAGTGATCCGGGACGGCTGGTTTGGGAGGCGCCATGACCGGGTTTCCCTTTCCTCTCCTTCAGACGCAGCGACTGGGCGGAGTAGGTTCTGGACATCTCGCGACGGCACTCACAGGAGTTAAGGATTCATGGAACAGAGGATATCAGCTCCGACAGAGTGCTTAGAGATCTCCGTCTACCCCATTGCCATATACTCTCCCCACCTTCCGTCACCACATATCTGTGTTCAGCAGAGAAGATGAGCAGGGTTCACCTAGGTAAAGTGACTCCCCAGGTCACATAGTCTGTTTGGGAAAAAGCCAGGCTTCTTGGGGCCCAGTTCCGGGGTTTTTCCCCACCACACCCGCTGCCTCTGAGCCAAATTCAGTAAGGGGCAGAGAGGGGGCGGGAATCTATTGTGTAGCAGTCGGGTAGGGTTAACGCAAAGAGTGCTTAGAGATCATCTGGTCCTCAAATCCTTAACCTGGGGTCTAGCGGTAAGTGGGTGGGTTTCAGGGTATGCGTGGTCTTGAATAGGGGGGAAATGCATCTTTATTTTCACCAACCTCTAAGTAAAATGTAGCATTTCCTCCATTTTTTTTTTCTGGGAAAGGGCTTTACCAGACTACCAAAGGGGTCTATCACACACACGCACACACACACACACACACACGGTGAAGAATTCCTGATCTAGTCACCCCCCCCCCCAATTTTACTGAGGAAGAAACAGGTCCAGAGAGTGATTTATCTAGTCATTTATCTAAGCACATGCCGTAAGTGGCGGAGTAATGCCTCATGTCTCCCTCGACACTGCTGTTTCTACTAGACCAGGCTGCCTCCAAGCAGGAAGAGAAGGGGAAAAGCTTCTCTGTTTGATACCTTTTCCTTCTTGCTTTGTTGCTTTCTATCTCCCCTGGGAATAAGGGGCACAGTAGGGGCACTGACTAGATGCTCATTGCCAGGAGGGTTTGTGTCATTTTTTTGTCCTTGAATCCCAGTCCTGGAACATAGGTAGATGATAGATCGGTTAAAATGATGCTTGCCAGACCAAAACCCCTCTCCTCCTCATTTCTCCCCACTCTTTTATCAAGGGGATACTGAATAGGTCACAGTGAACTTGAGTGTGTGTGGAGGGGGGTGAGGCAGTCACAGATCGTTGAGAGTCAGGTAATTTGGGAGTTGGGAAGCTAGGTGGCATAGTGGGTAGAGTGCCAGGTCCCGAGTCAGGAAGATCTGAATTCAAATCCAGCCTCAGACTCATACTAGCAGTGTGACTGTGGGCAAGTCACTTAACCCTATTTGCCTCATCTGTAAAACGAGCTGGAGAACGAAATGGAAAACCACTCCAGTATCTCTGCCAAGAAAACCCCAAATGGAGTCACGAAGAGTCAGACATGAGTGAAATGACTGAAGTTTGGGAATCAACTGAAATAGAGCTAGAGATTTGGGGGTGAGGAAAAAGTGGTAGAGATGGATAAAGGAGTGGAATCTCTTGGGAATCCTATTGATTGTGTTTCTGTGTGTGTGAGTGGGGAGTGGGGGAGTCCACAAGTAGTAGAGAGTGTATCCTATGAGGGATAAGTTCACATTGGTGCAGCCTGATATTTCAAGTTCAAGAACTCTTGTTTCATTGAGCAGAGCCAGGAGACCATTGTACACAGTGAGAGCAATATTGTGTGATGACCAACTTTGATAGACTTAGCTCTTGTTAGAAACACAATGATCTAAGACAATTCCAAAAGACTCATAATGGAAAATGCTATCCACATCCAGAGAAAGAACTATGGAGTCTGAATACAGATCAAAGCATACTATTTTCTCTTTTTTATTGTTTTTTTCTTTCTCATGATTTTTCCCTTTTGTTCTGATTCTTTCGCAAGGTGACTGATGTGGAAATACATTTAATGTGATTGTGCATGTATAGCCTATATCAGATTGCCTGCCATTTTGGGGAGGGGGGAGGGAGAAAAAATCTGAAACTCAAAATCTTGTAAAAGTGAACACTGAAAACTATCTTTACATGTAATTGGAAAAAATAAAATACTCAAGTGGGAAAAAATAAACAACAGCAAAAGAAATCTACTTCATAAGCACAAGACAGGGTAAGGCGTGACCAGGGAATCAACAGTTTTCGAAAGACCTACAAGTTATGTAAACCTCAAACTCACTATGAGTCAATAGGGTGATGAGGCAGCCAAAAACAGCTAATGCAATCTTAGGCCATGTTCAATTAAACTCGACAAGTATTTATTTAAATGCCAACTATGTGCAGGTGCTGGGTGGAGATTTGAAGTATCTTTCTACTATACTTTGAGGGATGGTGTCCAGGAGCAGGGAAGTGATGGTCCAGGTTATCTGGAGTGCTGTGTTCTCTTCTGGGGCCCAGAAGAACATTATGAACTGGAAGAAATCCAGATGAGGGTGACCAAGATGGAAGAGAGCCTTGAACTCATGCCACATCAGGAGGGATGGAAGAAACTGGGAATGTTCAACCTTGGGAAGGGAAGACTCATGGAGGTGGTAGGGAGATGCTAGCTGTCTTCAAGATTTGGAGGGGCTGGCACATGGAAGGAGGAATGTATTTTTTGTCTTTACCCCAGAGGAGAGAACCGGGATCAACCAGTAGAAAGTGCAAAGAGGCCAGTTTAGGCTTGATATCAGGAAAACAAGAGCTGGCCCAAAGCCGAATGGAGCACCCAGAAGGTTTGGGAGGTTTTCCTTCCTGGAGGTCCTCAGCAGACAGGGTGGATGACCTCTTGATCTACGGACTCCCCTTCAGGTTGGGGTTGGATGACAGAACCACTCAGGGGCTTTATAGCTGTGACATTCTGAGACCTCTCCTCTTCTTGTCCCTCCCCCCAAGATTCATATCAGAATGAAGAAACGGATGGACGAATCTTATTAGGGTTAGTGTCCTTAAAGGGGGTAAGGTAAGAGGGGGCAGTTCTTCCCTACCCACACCATGGAGTCCCAAGGGGATAGTGCCAGAGCACGTTATTTGTCAGTAGGTAGAAGACCCTCAAAACGGAGGGGCCACTTGGAGGGTCTGGGCTTAGAAGCATGAGGGGGTAGGTGTGGGGTCAAAGGCTGAAGGCGGAGCCAAGTTGCTGACGTCACGGGGAGGCATTTCCGCGGTGGGCGGGATCACGAGAGGGGAGCCCCCGGTGAAGACGAGACCTGGGGGAGTAGGGCAAGTGGGCGGGGTCTAGAGGAGTCCAATCACGTGGAGTTCTCCTTAATGGTCTTGTAGATCCAGTCCCGATAGCGGCAAACGCTGGTGTAGACTGTTGGTCGCTTGGGTTTGGAACAGGGCTGGGCTCCCCCCGACACCACGCCCTCCAGGGCACCGTTACAGACCAGCGGGCCCCCGGAGTCTCCCTGCATCCCGGGGGTGAGGGAAGGGAGGCACAGAGAAAGAAAGAGGAGGGCACGAAAGAGAGGCGAGAAGAAAGGAGAGGGAGATGGCCACATGCGGTTAGAAGGGCAGAGACAGAAGGAAAGGAGTAAACCGAGAGAAAGACAAAGCATGAGGCTGATGCGCTTTGCTTTGGTGGGTCCACCACCCACCCATCCCGGGCCCCCGCAGCCCAACCTATCGTGCCCATTTCCCCAAACCCAACGGTCTCTCCGCTCTGGGAACCAGGTGCTCCGCCTCCTCTCAAGGATGAGAGCTCCTCTCTAGCTCTTAAAACTCACAGAAACTCAGGGGTTCTGATCCCACAGGGACCCGGGCATCCTGATCCTCCAGCCCTTAGCCCGCTCAGGGACTCGGGCAACCTGGTCCCCCATCCCCTGCCTCCTTCAGGGACTCAAGTCCTGCTCTCATAGCTCCTATCCCCCAAGGGGACCCAGGGTCCTGATTCCGACCCCACCCTCCTTCGGATCACCAGCTCCTGATCCCTTTAGAGCCCAAGGCTCCAGGTCTCACCTGGCAGGAGCCTCGGCCACCCTCCCAGATACCAGCACAAATCATGTTGGAAGATATTCGACCAGGGTAGGCTCTATGGCACAGGCGGGGCTCCAGGACGCTGATGTTGGCACACTGAAGTGTGAGCGGGTATTCGACTGTGGGAGGACAGGGAAGCAGCGTCAACAAAGAGGCGCGCGGAACACAAGAGGGCACCATCACCCCCATGCTGCCACGTAGGGCTTCATTGGCCCTCAGACATTCTCACTATCTCTTCCATCAGTAACTCCAGCCCCGTCGCCAGCCCTGCTCCCAAACCCATCTCCAAAGCCATCCTCAACCTCAAGCAAATTGCTATCTCCTACTCTACTCCCATCTCCATTTCCATCCCATCTTTACCTCTAAATCCAGTCCCTGCCTCATCCCCATCTTTATCTGTCCTTAATCTTTACTCCCAACTCCATCCACAAAACCACTTCTATCCCTTTCTCCATCTTTTATATTTACCTCCAATTCTATCTCCATCCTCATCTCCATTTCCATCTCCAACCTTATCCCTATCCTTTCTGTCACCTTCTATCTTTATCCCCAACTATATCCTCTACTCTGCCTTATCTCTATCACCAACCCCATTTCCAAATGCATCCCTATCCCTTTCTTCTTTCTTTATCTTTATGTCCCAGTTCCATCCCCATCCTCAAGCCTATGGTTCATCTCCACCCTCATTGTCATTGCCATCTTAATCTCTTATATTTACTCCCATTCTTTACCTTCAAT